TTGTTTAAATTGTTTATTGTAACCTACAGTATTTACCTACATTAAGAAACTGTGATAAGTGAACAGAAAAGTATCTGTGTTAAATTGTTAAATTGTATCAAATGCATACTTATTGTTATATTGTAACCTATAGTATTTACCTACAGTAAAGAAACTGTGATAACTACCAAACTAATTAATTAAGTGTTGAATATTTAATAAATATTTTTAAAAATTTAATTATTTGTTTTTATTCACCTTACATGAGTTTAAATCGAAAAAGTTGGTAAAAACCAATATATGTTTCTTTTCACCCCACTCGGCAGGTGAATAGAAACAAAGCACTTAAAAAAATATATAAAATCAATCTTTAAATATAAAATGTTATCAATGATACTATATTAAAGTACTCACAGAGACCCATATTTTAAAGTATTGCTCATTATTCTATGTTAAATATTTAAGATGCTACAAGCTTTAGAAGTTTGAAATTGTTTCTATTCACCCCATTTGACGGCACTTATTTTTTAGATTCTGAGCGGAGCGAAAGAATGTATTGATTTTACAATGATGTGATTTTTTTTCTCCGTCTGTCAGCAACATTTTTGATAGTAAGCATGCTTCGATTTTTGAGATCAGCATCTTTTCTGCTAGAAAGGTGAACCTAGTTGGTACTTTGGAGGGTCAAAGTAAAAAATTCCAAGTAGTTTTTCATCAATAAATATCTTATATTTTGTTGAAATTCAAAAACTAATAAACCTAAATACTCAACATTTTTTTTTAATGTTAAAATGACTATTTTCCATGCATAATAATATTTTCAAACAATTTTTCAGCCATTAATAGCCATGAGAATTTTTTTAAATGTTGTAAATTATTATTTAGTTAGAAATTCATAAACGTTTTTCTTTTCATACCTAAGATTAAACATTTTAATAGAAGATTTTACATAAGTTTTCCTACCTATAACAAAAAGATGGGTAAGTGGATGTCGCTCTGCTGTACAGTAGGTTACAAGACGTGGGTCACTGTAATGGATGGTGTTTAATTTGAATTAAATGATAAAATATCAATGTATAAGAATTACGATTCTGAGCGAAAACGGTCAGTCAGCCTATCATATTACCAGCGGCGTATTTACGGGGGGGGATTTGGGGGATCAATCCCCCCCTTGGTATTTTTTTTTCTATTATTAAAGAATTTACCTATATAATATACCTAGACACTAAATTGTGTTTAGCATTTATTATCTTATTGTATTTTTCATTTTTCTAAATAAAGTAAAAAAATAATAAGTTAAAAGGTTACTATTTATTACGCCACTAAAACCGCTATGTCGTAGCTAGTGC